TAGTAGTAGTAGTAGTAGTAGTAGTAGTAGTAGTAGTAGTAGTAGTAGTAGTAACTGGCGGCACTAGTTGGTTCGTTTATTCATTTCGTTTATTTTCGTTTGAGTAAAGAGAAGCACATCGACACAATGATGACCATTTAGTGCTGGCAAAAATAAGGCAGACAGACAGAAACAACCGAGGAAAAGTAAAGAAGTAGGACCAAACAGTGGCACCCTCCAACCACCCACACTGGTAGATTCTACTTCTTTTCTTTCCCTCTCGTTTCTGTCTCTTTGTCTGTCTGACTTTTTCCTAGCACTGAATGACCGAATGACCATTCTTGTAATCGATGTGCTTCTCTTTACTCAAATAAACAAACAAACAAACAATAAACAGACAAACAAACAAGCAAACAAACAAACAAACAAACTAACGAACAAATGAACAAAACGGAAGACTGGAATATCAGATGTCATCCCTCCAGCAAAATACGCGACACGACGCAGTGAAATCAGGCGCTCGTCAATTTTTGGGCATGTGGATTTGTTGAATTAGAATAGACCCAGATCTAACCTTAAGGATTGTTCACATGTGTAGCTTTCGATTAACCAAAAAAATCCAATCTGTCTTGAATAGATGTCGAGATAGTCACGAGTGAAGGAGATGCGGGTTGTCTGGTGTCAGAGGTCAATATATTAGCGAGAAAATTGCTGCCCAACTTTGTTGACTTCCAAAGCTAGGAGGAAAGTCCTTGGAAATTGTAAGTTTACATTTGCGTGGCATCGTGGTGAAATCAGGCGCTCGTCAAAACTGTGAAATCCGAGAAATGGGTATTTTTCTGCATGTTTGGCATTTTTTATTGAATTTTTGTTTTGTTTTTTTGGCTGAACACTTTTTATATCCATTTCAAAAACATTCTTGTGTGGATTTTATTGGGGGAAAAAACGTTAATGAAGGCACAAAATATGAACATTTTCAGTTTTCCAGGAGTCTCACGCTATTAAAAATGACCCAACTTTGGCGGCCATTTTATCGTTACCATTACCCCTGACACTAGATGGACTCCTCTACCTCGTTCAAGGTCAAATATCTCGACTTCTTTTCAAGATCGATGGGCATTTCTTTTCGTGAAAGATAGACGAAATGAACACGTTTTAAGACGATACCAGTCACTCCACAAGCCAAAAAAAAAAGGAAAAAAAAAAAGACGAGCACCTGATTCCATCGCGTCGTGACACAAATATCGTTTTTTCCGATTTCACTACTTTAACGAGCGCCTGATTTCACCACGATACCACGCATAGCGTCTGACTGCTTACTTTATCAGTCTCCCCAAAACTAAATCTTTGAGCTCATCCCAGTAAAAGATCCGATTATTGTCCAAGGAGCGAACCATCGGGGTATCGACAGCATCGGGGGCGATCATTGCGTATTCGATTCCTTGGTCCGGACGAGTTGGATCTTGCTGATGGAAAGAAGGAAGAAGGAAAAATGAAATAATTGCCACCTTAAATTACAAAATTCTATCCGACATTTGGGCCGTTTTGAGATATTAAGACTAAGCGGTCAGAAAACAAATTATGTTCTAACTTCATCATCATCATCCAGTGCCAGACCTGCGACAGACATCAGCGATCATGATTTTCCATTCATTCCTTTGCTCGGATGCTCTCAGAAAAGTTCTAACTATTTTATCAAAATCGTAAGATTATTCAGAGGAGTCGTTTTCAAGATATTCAAAGAAATGCATTCAAAAAATCTTGGCATGTTGTAAAACTCAACATTTTTTAACGAAATATTTCTCCAAACTAGGTAGTGAGCAGACAGAATTGTGATATTCTAGAGTAGTGTAATGTTATAATGGCAGGATTTGAGAGCAGGACTCGATGCTTCTTTGTTGTTATATATACATGAATAATATAATATATGTCCAGATATGTGGGTATATATA